TATACACGCAACATGAAACAATAGTGCGGTGCGCGCCTGCCGCCCGCCCGCACCGCCCACGATACGTCCCCGTGCCTGTGCGCGTGCCTCCCACACGCTTGACAACCACTTGAGAAGAAGGCGACGCGAGTTGCCGCCGATTCGATTGTCGTCTGGCGGCCTGTTTTGAGTTTTGAGCACGGCCCCGGTGTTTTGTGTGCACATTTTGGGCGCTGTGCCAGGCCCGGCTGCGCGCGGCGGGCCCCCTGCGCAGGCCAATTTTCAGGCGCGCCGCTGTGCAACCCCTTGTCCCTTACCCCCACACCTCTTGCCTCCATGCCTTTGTCAACCTGTTTGCTGATCTGACCGTCCTTGTCCTTTCAGAGTACCCAGTCCTCGTCTGCTTTTTGTGTGCCCCCATGCGGCGTGCCGTTTGCACGTGAGCCAGCGGCCCGCACCATGTTGCGCCTCTGCCCGCCACCCTCCCCCTGGCCATGCGCTGGTGCCCGCTCCCCGCCTCGGCCCTGGGCAGCGCTTCGTTGATGAGCCGAGCCCAAGACGTCACGGCCGCATTCTTTTCTCGTTGGCTCCTGCTGAGATTTCTTTCCAAACTGCCGTGCCCCCCCATTCTCACCTCATCTCGCCCCCCATGCCCACAAAGTTCCCCCTGCCTTGCTTGATCCCCATCCCCTGCGGAAACATAAACCCAAGCAACCCACCAAACCTGCCCCTTTCGTCCTGCCAGCCTCCCAGCCTCCCCACGCGCCACCTGCTGTTGCCACCACGGCGAGCGCGCCCACCACGGCTGCCCATGCGTCCCTCTGTCACCGACGCCTTTTTCATCCTGCCTGCTGCTCGCCTGCCGAGCACGGCTGTGTTCACCCTCTGCTGTAACAATAAGCATGCGTCGTGGCACGGAGAGCATGCAGCACATCGACGGCGGGAGGGGAAACCAGCAGGCTGCGGGCGTGGGTGCAGCGGTGGCGGCATCACACCGGCACAAGCTCTAGAAGGAGGATGGGTTGTAGCGCGGCGGCTCCCGCCCGAAGAACTGCCGCTTCAGCAGCTGCTGGTGCCGCTGCCGCGCCTCAGCTGTGCTCATCGAACCGTCCGCCACGCTGCGGCCAGGTGGGGGCGGTGGGGGGGAACAGCAGGGTGGGTGGGCACGGCAAGGACGCTCCATATGAGGGTGCCACGAAGCCAAGCCAGCGCCAGGGCAACAGCTTGTGCATAGTACAATACAATATGCATACCCAGCCCTCATTGGCCCGCCCCGCCCGCGCACCGCGTGCCCGCCGTCTCGCCGCTCCCCTCCACCAGCTGCCCCTCGCGCAGCACGTAGTGCGCTTGCCCTAGGGAGGATGCCTCCCCCGGCCGGCGGGGCGTAATGACCCGCAGGAAGCTGATGCGGGCTGCCAGCTGCTTGAACAGGTCAAGCCGCAGCGCCTGGTCGGCCTCGCCCGCGTGCCGCCGCAGCGCCTGCCGCGCCTCGGCCCACTGCGCGGCGCGCTGCGCCTCGGGCAGCCGCTTGATCAGCCCCAGCAGCTCCCGGTACGCGCGCAGCACCTGCACGCGGTGTGTCTGGCCCATCCCTGCCTGGGCAACTGCCGTGCCCCAGCACCGGGCTGGAGCACCAGGAGCCCTGGCGCCGCCGCCTCCGCCTCCGCCGCCGCCGCTCCGGGTGGAGGCTGCTGGGTGCGGCTGTGCTGGTGAGGTACTCTGCACGTTTAGCAGGAGCCTGCCAAGCCAGCAGCGGGCAGAATAGCAGGCGAGGAGGTCGGCGGCCTCGCAAAGCAAGAGCCTCTGCAGTTCTTGAATTGGCTTTGGCCGTTCTGAGCAGTGATCGATTCGAGCGGCTTCGCCGTGCAACCAAGCTGGACAGTACAACAAATGTACAGCCCACTCAGCTCCCGGTGGCCTTGATGTTACAAAGCATCTGTGGTGCTACAAGTATGTGTACGAAGCCCCAGGCACGCAAACAAGGATGGATCCCGAGCCGTGCAACCGCTGCAAGAACGGGTGCAGCTGCGGCGTGGCAGGGTGCACCTGCGGGCCAGACTGCGGCTGCTCGTGCCGCACCCAGGGCCCCAGGAAGTGAGGAGGGGCACCACACAGGTCAGGTGCACACCGGAGCGGCAGCCGAGGCAGCAGCGTGCCTGCTGCCGCCGCCGCATGCCCGCCGCCTTAGCCCCCCTGCGGCAGCCGCTGGTAGCCCGCGGAGCTGGTGCCCACAGCGTTGCCCTCTGGCACAAACCGGTTGCGCCGCTTGGAGGCGGTGGCAAAGCGCCACAGCACGCCCGGCATGGTGAGGTACCTGATGCTGTAGCTGCCGTTGCCTTGGACGCCCCTGCAGGCTCCGGCACACCGGGGTGGCGCTCATGCTCTGCGCGGAATCGGGTGTGTGATGGGACGGTGCAAGCGAGCTGCCCAAGCAAGCAAGCAGGCGGCAGGCGCGGCGCCAGCTGGGCCCACCTGAGGCGGGGCACCAGCCAGCCGGCCACCACCGCCGGGTCCTCGGCGAGAATGTTGATCATGCGGGCTGCGGCCAGGGCAGGGTTGGGGAGGGGGAAAGGGAAGCCAGCTAGCTTCACCAGCCAAATTGTATGTGGCCGCTTAGCGAGGCATTGTAACGCCGCCACAGGAGCTGCCCAGGCCAGCATGCAGGCCGCAGGCAGCCGCTGTTCACACGCCGCTCCCTCCCACCCCTCCCCTCCCACCCGACCGCGGGTTGTCTGCGTAGCGCATCAGCATGTCGGTGGCAACCATGCCCGGGCTGAACAGGTGCACCGCCACGCCGCTGCCCTGCACCTCCGCCGCCAGGCTGTCCTTGAGCTGCACCAGCGCGCGCTTGGTGGCGCCGTAGGCCGCGTTGCCAGGGGTGGGGTTGCCCCAGCTGCAGGCCAGCGGTGCCAGGGACAGGGTCGGGCGCGCGGCCGCATGGCCGGCACGCACGGGCCGCTGCCTGGCGCCCGCCGTCCCTCCCTGAGCACCACCAGCGCTGCCAACCGGCAACCCACAGCTCTGCTGCCAGCCGGCACCGTGCTGCCGGCACCCCGCAGCCGCCCCACCCACCTGCCGCTTCCATCCACCAGGAAGAACTTGCCGCCTGCGGGCTGGGTGGCCATGCGCGAGATGGCGGCGCGCGCCCCCAGCAGCGCGCCCCCCAGGTTGGTGTCCACGACGGCGGTCAGCTCTGCGGGGCTGGAGGAGGAGACGGGCGTCTTGACGGGAGCAGACAGCGCCGCACTCTGGACCCAGATGTCCTGTGCGGGTGGAGGGGGGCAGGGGCGCATAGCGGTGTGTGTGGAGCAGGCCGGAGGCCCCAGCAGAGCGCCGCGCTGCCGAGTGGGCGACACTGGCAGCGAAGGAGCCAGCGTCGGGGGGGGGGGGTGCTGCCGTCGCATGCCGCCCTCCCGCTCACAATCTGTCCCAGCTCCTCCACCGCCTTGCTGGCCAGGCGCTCCACGTCCCCGGGCTTGGAGGCGTCCGCCGCCAGGCCCACCACCTGGCAGCCGGGGAACTCGTCCCGCAGCTTGCGGGCCGCCTCTGCCACCGCCGCCGCTGAGCGGCTGGTGATGACCACGTCGTCGCCCAGCGACAAAAACTGGCGGGCCAGGTGCAGGCCCAGCCCGCGGGTCGAGCCGGTGATGACCACCTGGGCGGGGCGGAGCCAGAAGCGAGAGCAGGGGTGGAGCAGGTGCAACAACAGTGTGTCGCGGGCGGCGGGTGCGGTGGCGGCGACCAGGGCGGGGGCCCACCTTGAGGCCCTGCGAGTGTGGTCTGTCGTCCACGATGCATCGCTGCGCCGCTGCCAGAGCTTTACAGAGCTTGTACCCCGCGGCAAGCAGCAGGGGCGTCGCCAGCCCCGCCAGGTAGCTTTTGAGGTCCAGCTCGAAAGCCATTATGATCAGCAGCAAGTCCGTGTAGGGCCGACAACAAACAACGGAGCAGGGCAACTCAGGAGAGTGAGGCCAGCTTGGCGCAGCGCAGTGGGCAGCCCGCCCTCGCGTGACGCCGCCTGTTGGCGACCAGCCAGGGGCCAGCCTCATGTTGACCCTGTGAGGGTGCCATCTGGCCATGTACCATCCCCATGAGGCATTGAGGGCCCCTGCTACCCCTCCCTAATGCATGCATATGGGATGTCTCCCTCGACAGCTGGTGGTGCTTCACAGCGGTCGCAGCAAGTGGGGAAATATGCGCATCGGAGGTCAACACATCAACATCTCAACATCTGGCAAGGCCCAGACAGCACCAGGAGGACGATACATGCACGCGCAGCAGGAGATGCGGCTACCCACAGCGCCCAGGGGCCTCAGTACCGGGCGCCGCTGTAGTCGTCGGGCTGCCAGGCGCCGCCGCCAGGCTGCTCGCCGGCCTGCCCCGCCGCGCCGCCGCCATACTGCTGCGCCTCCGCCTCCGCCTGCGCCTCGCGCTCAACCTGCAGCCCACGACGGCACGGCACCATCGCAGATCGCAGCAGCACATTAAAGGCAGCCGCGCTCGTCCAGCTCCGCTGCTGCTGAGACCTCCGCCACGGCCCTGCCCTGGCAGGCACGGCCCCCTCCTCCCTCCCCACCCCCGCATGCCTGCAGCGACACCTCCAGGAACCGGGTGCGGTCTGCGTGGGGGTACTCGCTGACCCATAGGCCGCTGCTGGGCAGGTACACATCCTTGACCGCCTGTGGTACAGGCAGGCAGGCAGGCAGGCAGGGGCGAGAGTGGGCCGGTGGCGAGCGGGATGGGCATGCATGGCTGAGCGGCGGGGTGTGGCTGGCGACCAGCCTGCCCGCCAGCCCCACCCGCCCTGCCCCGCCCGCGCACCTTGAAGCGGCGGAAGGATGTGTCGCTGCTGAGCACCAGCAGCTCCGCCGCCTCGCCCGCCTGGATCAGCTCGTAGCTGCGAGGAGGGGGAGCGGGCAGCGGCAGGCACAGGCGGGGGTGGGCTTCCAGGCAGAAGGAGACGCCGCGCTGCGCCGGCCTGCTGCCCTGCCGGCAGCCAGCGCGCCGCCGCCCACCCAGCCGCCTCAGCCTTGCCGCCACCGCAGGCGCCCAAACCTGCCCCATCCCTCCTCGAGACCGCCTGCATGCCTGCCTGCCCGCCCGCCCGCCAGCCCGCCTGCCCGCCCGCCCCCTCACCGGCTGTCGTAGGGCAGCACCATCTCCGCCCGCGCGCCGCCCGGGTCCCCCACCAGTATGCGCGCCATGCGCATCGTGCCGCCGCGCTCGCCGCCGTCCAGGGCGGTGAAGGGCTTGGGGCGCCCCGTGATGGCAACCTCCAGCACCTGGGTGCGCCACAGCCCGCCGTAGCTGCACGGGCGGGTGGGGATGTGCTGGGGCGGGGTGGGTGCGGGCGGTCAAGTATCCCTGGCAGGTGTAGGAACAGAGGAGGCAGGCAGGCAGGCAGGCAGGCGCGCGCCTCCCTCGCTCCCCCCCTCAGCGGCGCACCTGAACTGCCGCCGCAGCGCCAGGTTCTTCTTGGCGGCCAGCGCCCAGGGCCACCACAGCGGCCAGGTCAGCGAGGTGGCAGCCAGCACGGCAACCTTGGAGAGCACCTGCTGGGAGGGAGCGGGGAGCGGGAGCGGTCCGTGGAGAGCCTGGGCTGAGCAGCAAGCAGACTGCACAGGCGGCAGGGCGACATAAGCTGCCAGGGGGCCAGACCCAGGGTGCAACCCCGCCTGCGCAGGCACACTGCTGGCAGCAGCAGCCGTGCAGGCAGCCAAGCGGGTTGGGGCAGCTGCTGGCGGCGCGGCGCTTGGCGCCCCTCGGCGCACCACGGTGGCCGCCAGCGAGGCACCCCAGCGCTGCACGCCGTCGGTGGCCGTGCCGCCGTAGAAGGAGGCCTGCTGGGCGAAGGGGATGACGGGCAGCACGCGGTCCAGCTCGTCTGCAGGCGCAGCGGGCGCAGCAGGCAAAGCAGCCAGTACAGCGCACGGTGAGCGGCGACGGGTGGCAGGCGTGGCGGCGGGGCGCGGGGTGCAGGCGGGACCACAGGCGGCGGTAAGGGTCCAGAACAGAGTCACGAGCTGTGTGCACACGGCTGTGCCGGTGGCGCACCCACCCGAGCTGAGCAGCGCGATGTCTGGCTCCGCAGTCACGCCTGGCTCGTAGGCCTCGGTGTACTGCCCGCCGTCGTCACCGTACCGCTCCTGCCAGCTGGCACCCTCCGCGCCGTCGCCGTCGTACCGCCCAGCCTGCTGCTGCTGCGTGGCGTAGGCGTCGTACCCAGGTCCGTACTCGCCGCCGTACCGCTCGCTGCTGTACTGCTGGCCGTCGCCAGGCGCGGCATAGGCGCCCCCGGCAGCCGCTCCGCCATACGTGGCGCCGCCGTCCGCGGCAGGCGCCTGGGGCGCGTCGCGAGCGGCCGCCGCCCGCGCTCGCCGCCGCTGTCGGCGCAGCTCTCGCTGCTGCTGCGCCAGCTCCCAGGCGCTGCCCGCGCCGGCGCCTGCCTCGGCAGCCGCCTGCTGCCCGCGCTGCCGGGAGCTGCTGCCGTTGCTTCTGACGCCAGATGCCCACGACTCGGCTGCCCAGCCCCAGTCCTCTGCCGCCGCAGCAGCAGCTGCAGGCGCACCCTCCAGGGGCCCCCAGTCCTGGGCCACAGGGTCTGGCACCGGCGCCGCCGCCGCCTCCCGGCCTGCCGCCGCCGCCTGCTGCCGCCGCCGCAGCTGCCGCAGCTCTGCCTGCACCCAAGCATCCTCTGGGTCACCCGCTGGCGCAGCTCCCTGCTCCGCCGCCGCTCGCTCCGCCGCCTCCTGCCGCCGCCGGCTGAGCCTGCCGCTGCCGACGACAGGCGATGCCCGCGCTCGCCGCCGGCCCAGCCTGCTGCTGCGTAGGCTGCTTCCATCATCTGTGTCAGCCGCCTCCCAAGCCTGCTGCTGCCCCTGCAACAGCTGCTGCTCTCCGTCGGGAGCATCTAGCCCTTCCTCGGGCCACCCGCCACCAGCTCTGGCACCACTGCTGCTGCTGCTGGGCTCGCCATTGTCGTCATACAGAGACTCCCGCTTGCGTCCTGCGGCACCGTCTGCACAGGTGCAGGAACACAGCTGCTCTCAGCAGGCTCTACCGGCGACGAACAGGGCGCCCAACTGTGGGCGGCGGCGGCAGCGGCGGCGACGGCGGCGGCATGCGGTCTGCCCGGGGCGGCACCTGCCCTGCCTTCTCACCTGCGCTCCAGCGGTAGTTGGCTCTGCAGACGTGGGCCGGCCTGGAGCAAGCTCGTTGCACGCCTGTGCAGCGCCGAGGCGGGGGCCCAGACAGCGGAGGTGGGGGCCTCCACAGCAGCATCCCTGGCTACCGACGTCGAAACAACGGGTGGCTGAAGCGTTTCACGTTCCGAAAGGCCAGTAGCAAGGTGCTCGTAGCAGAAACGCAAACAGGCGGACTGTGCGGTAGAAGTTCAAGAACAGTTCACAAGATGCATGTGCTAGAGGAAGTGCATTGCGCTTTCGAAGCGGAACCGCCAAAACCAATGCTGAGTTGGCTTGCCGACGAACAAGGAGTGCCCCTGCTGCATCGGTGCATTGCTGCATCCAACCTGCAAGCGTGGTTCCCACTTCTGGTGCAGTGCATGCCCTCTTGCATGTCTGGTGAAGCCACCATAAGCTTGCCGTGTGTCTACCGAGCCCTCTGGCCTGTGTCAACGCATATAGCATAAGGGAGACAGCGTAAAAGACGCCCAGCAGACGTTTACACGCACTCACTGTGGGCATGCAGCGGGGCAAGCGCAAGGTGACCCTTGCTCAACGCCTGTCCTACCTAGCAGCCGCGTAGAGGGGGATGCCGAGCGCCGCTTGCCATTGAGCGACGGCGTGCACAGCCTGGGCTGCCGCTTGCCGCCGCCGCTGCCGCCACCGCCAACCAGCTCCCCCCTCCGCCTGCTGCTGCTCCGCAGTCGCCGTTTGTGGGCGGCAGCCAGCCTCTGGATGGCGGCATCCTGTACAGCCGCTACACCGACCTGTCTGCAGTGCTGATGGAGGGGGAGGCAGCGCCGGCGACGGCGGCAGCGCCCACGGCAGCAGCCGGCAAGCAGGGAGGCAGCAAGGAGCGCAAGGCGGAGAAGAAGCAGAAGCGCAAGCAGCCGGAGGCGGGGGAGGATGGCGGCGTGCCTCAGCCAGAGGTAGCCAATGGCCACGCCACCGCTGGCGAGGAGCCTGCGGCGGCGGGCGGGGAGAAGAAGCAGCGCAAGAAGGCGCGGTGGAGCGAGGAGCAGAAGGCGGCGGCCAAGGCGGAGCGCGAGGCCGCTGCTGCGGCCAAGAAGGCCAAGCGGCAGGCGGCTGCCGCGGCGACAGCTACCGATGCTGAAGCCGCCGGGGCAGAGGCTGGCGCCGATGGTGCCAGCCCTGTGACTGGCAGCGGCGAGGAGGCTGCTGCGCCTGCGCCTGTGGCTGCCGCCGGCGAGGAGGCGGAGGGCGAGCAGGGCGGCAAGAAGAAGAAGAAGAAGAAGAAGAAGGCTGCGGTGGCACAGAAGCTGGCGCCCCAGGAGCGCGTGTCTGGGCCTGGCAACGCCGAGGAGGCGCAGCGCATGCGGCAGGCCCTGGGTGAGAGCCGCCGCCGCCGCCGCACGCACGCCCCGCCGCCGCCCCGCTCGCAGGCTGCACCCAGGGCCGCGGTTGGAGGGAAGGGGTGCTGTAGTGTGGTGGTGTGCTGCTGAGGCACCCTGCTGCCAGGCGCCGCCTCTGCAGGCCTTGCCACGGCGGTGCCCCAAGCCCCCGCCGCAGCCCCGGCGCCAGCCGGCAAGCTGGCTTTCTCCTTTGGCTTTGGCGGCGCGGCGCCTGCCCAGCAGGCGGCGGGCAAGCCTGCCGCCCCTGGCGCCAAGAAGGCTGGGAGCAGCGACGACAGCAGCAGCGAGGAGGAGGAGGAGGAGGAGGAGGAGGAGGAGGAGAGCGGCAGCAGCAGCGACGAGGAGCAGGCGGCTGCCTCTCCCCTGACGGCCTCACCCCCGCGCAGGGCAGCCAGCAGCAGCGACAGCGACAGCGACAGCGACAGCGAAAGCGACAGCGAAAGCGACAGCGACGACAGCAGCGAGGATGAGGAGGACGGGGAGGAGGAGGAGGCTGCAGCGACGCCCGGCAAGGCGGCCCCCGCTGCCGGCGAGGCAAGCAGCAGCGACAGCGACGACAGCAGCAGCTCTTCCTCCGACAGCGACGACGACGGCCCCACCCAGCAGGCGCAGCAGGAGGGCGAGTATGTGCCGCGCCGCGTGTATGTGGGTGGCATGCCGTACGGTTACACAGAGGACCAGGTGGGTGTGGGGGCCTGCCGCCAACTGATGCCCCTCGGGAGGCTGCCTGTGCTGATGCCTCCCCCTGGCTGTGTTGCACCACCGGCAAGCGCTGGCCCCTGCCCGGCACCCCAGGCGCTCGCTCCCGCACCCACCTGCCCCTGCCCTGGCCCCGCATGCTGTGCCCGCTGCGCAGATCTGGGAGTACTGGGGCTACTGCGGCGCCATTGAGTCGCT